TGATTATGGACCGAACAAAAGATGGTCCCCAAAGTATTTGAATGTTTGTGAGAGAAATTTAGTTGTAAGAAATGATGGAAAAACAAAGTATTTGAGCGACTATAGTCGTCCGATGACCAGAAAAGAATGGTAATTAGGGGAAAGATCATGAGAGAATAGTCCTAAACAACTAGAAAGAGACTAAAACTCAAGGGGATGACTCTTAGTCTTGAGAAAATGGGCTTAGTGTGAGTGTTTTCTAACCAAAAGATCGAATCCATTTTCCAACGAGAATAATGTAGTATTTATAAACTTTTATCTCTCCAACCTTGGAAATCGGGCTCTGCATCTTTACTTGGATCGGGTTTAGATTTTTAGGCTTGACCTTGTACGATATCCTCGATTCCTTATACCTACTTTTTGTGTTAGTTGATCCTTCGTATTGTTGGCAGCGCCTGACATGGCAGATCGAACGTCGAGATGCTCCCTCAGAGTCAGTTTCTTTATACTTTAATCATTTTCCAAGTATGGACCACCTGTTTTTACTCTAGCATGCATAAGATGAAATTGATATTGCCCTTTGACTGATAATTCAAACGTTAACATTTAGAAAAAATTGAACTTAGCACTTTATAGGAGATATTTTATATCTAACCCGAGTTGCTGATACGAGAACACGAGTTCCTTGCTTCATTTTGGGTGTTGACTCGAGATTCTTGCATATCTAGGTACTTGGTTTCGGGCTCCAATTATTCTTGGTGGTTTTTTATGTTACCCAGGCTATTGGCCGGATCAAGACAGCTTTGCCTGTTCATTTGGGGTTTTATAGATTTTGACCCAAAGTTTTCCAGAGCTTACATTAGAGGATAAGCTCTGTCTGAAAACGTTAAATGTCTCCACCCTACCATGGAATACATGGCATAAAACGGTTAACTTAACTCAAATTTTTTTTTTCTCCCAACAATTTATATTGGAACGAAATAGGGTTAGATAACCAAAACTAAAAAAAGATTTTACAATCTAATCAAAACTTCTTTTTTTTTGTCAACAGCATAAATAAGACTATTCTACCACCAGTTGGTTCCCAATTTGGCGGTGTCGTTCTTACAAAAGAAACATTGTGATTAACTATGCGTGCACAATTCGCTAGCCTGTCGGCCCTAGAATTTAGTGTGCGTGGAATGCGTGATAATGAAAAG